GGGTGGCAGGGCTGGGGAGGGGTGGACGTGTTTCACGGGGACAGAACTTCGGCTTGGAAAGATAGGAAGGTTCTGGAAATGAAGGTGGTGATGGCTGCACCACCCCGTGGGTGTACTTAATGCCCCTTATGCACACCTATAAGTGACTCAAATGGTGAACTTTGTGCCATCCTCATCTTACCACGATTAAAGACAGATGTGCCCTATCGTCTTCCTGCAGCAGATGACCTGCCTGGTGCTCCCCACTCCCCCAACTCCTCTCCGCATCAGACCTTGCCCTCCGTCGGCACCCCTGCCCTGCACCCAGGTCCCAGCCACACCCTGTGCCTTCGAACCTTCCAGAGGCCACGTTCATCCCTACCCCAGGGTCTGCACTGGCTGCCCCTGTTTGCTGCTCGGCTGTCACCGCCCCCCACCATGTGTCACTCTCTCGTTCCTCAGAAGCTTTTACTGCACCCAGAGACGCCTGTGCATCTGGGAGCTTCAAACAGGCTGGATCTCTGTTCTCCTAGTCCAATCCCCTGCCCAGGGCAGCACCCAAATGCAGCAGGAGTGCCTCAGGATTTGCTAGAAGGAAAGCAGGAGGAGGAAATAGGCAGAGAAGGAGTCCGAGAAAGAACAAGACAGAGCAGGACACGTGTCAGGTGGAGGAGGTCTTCACGGGGCAGGAGCCACCGGGCCCCCGCAGCCTGGTGCAGGGCTGGAGGAGGACACGGCCATCCTCGCAGCAGGGCAGCTCAGGGCACCAGGATGCCTGGGTGGAAGGTGACCTGCCGCTCGATGGGCGATTCGGTCCCACCCAGTCATGGCTGTGGCTGGACGGGCCGGGGGTCTGGAAGCCAAGAGGCCCGCTGTGTCCTCCACTGTTTCTTTTGGACAGTGGGCTCCAGGCTGGTGTCAGACCTGTGAAGCCCCTGAGTCTTGCCGGACACCTTCCCAGGTGTGTTGGGGTCCTGGAGGCCAGGGATGGGGCCTGGCCATCCCAATGCCTGGGCAAAGAGTAGCTTGTCACCTGCACGGCACCCAGGGACCTGGGACACCTCCCTGCCAGCCCACCCAGCCCTGGGAGGTGGGCTCAGCCCCTGAGGCCCTACCGCTGGAGGGGGGGTAGCCCACACGGCAGGGATACACGGCCTCAGGGGAGCAGGAGGTGACCAGTGTGGAGCTACCATCCCCGTCCCCAGGATATCCTGGCTCTGAGCAGATGGAGAGCCCAGCCCTGCCTGTGGTCCCCCCCAGGCTGTGCTCAAGACTCCTGGATGCCCCTTGGTATCCACTGTGGACCCAGCACTCAATAAGTGCCCGCAGGTTGATGGACCCTGGTGCTGTTCTCAAACCTGCACTGCTGCGGTGGGAGGCAGGGTGAACTGGGCTTGGCAGACAATCCCCACGTGGCTGCCCAGACCTCCAGGGTGCCTCTAGGGCCGCAGGCCTGGACAGCAGGCGACAGTGGACCCTGATGCTAAGCACTCACGCCTGGCACCGCCTCCAGAGGGGCCTGCGGGGTCCTGGTCGGGTCCTCGGTCAGCATGGGATCAGCCCCACGTGGGGTGAATCAATCCCTTTTGTCCTGCTGCCCCCTGGACAGAGTGAGGGGCAGGGACCTGCCCTGGGCTGGGCCAGGCTCAGCCCCCGTCAGAGCCGCGGGGCAGGTTCCTGGCACGGCTCGCGTGGAGGCTCCCTGGCCCCGGGAGGCTGTGTCTGCCCCCCTTCCGAGCAGGAACTGGCCCGGCCCCGTCCTTTCCTCTCTTCCGTGCCGGGCGCCTTCAGCTGTGAAGAGGTAAACTCTGCAAACAGGCTGAGCAAACAGGCTCCTGCCGCATCCGGGATGTCTCAACAGCCGCGACCCCGACGGGCTCGGCGCCGCCTGGGACCCCTGGGTGGGACGCAGCCTGGCCCCCGGGGCCTTCTACCCGGGAGGCACTCGGGGAAGGGTGGGGGCAGAGTCCGGACCCCCCACTGAAGCAGTGCCTCTTGCATGCCAGGGCGGCA